TCTTAAGTTTTTGAGAACTATTTCATAATGCTTTTCATTTGGACTGTTGAAATAATAACTTTCTATCAAAAGTGCAAGTCTACGCAGTCATGCTGGGATTTGTATTTATTTGTTGGAATTTTGGTTTTATTTGTTGGATTTTTTCAATTGGGTATTGGGATAAACAACCAGTGGGATTTATAAATTTCCAATCAGGAAAAATGATATGCCTTTATTTTACTCAGACAATTATTTTATTTATTACACGACTCGGGCAGTGAGGGGGCCAATAACTAAAATCAACCAATCAAAATGCTCTATTGCCGGTCAATATTCTCTGAGTATTGGACCGGGCACTGTCCCGAATGGTCCCGAATGATACTGCACTTGTGTCCTTTTGAACTTTAGTCGAAAAATAAATCTCTTATTAACCAAGCTTTCTCGGGACCGTATTGGAAGAATATCGACCCTCGGTCTTTTTTGTACGGACCTCGCTGCGCTCGGTCCGTACTGTCAAGACCTAAAGTTAACTATAATAATACTGCATAATTGATTACTCATTCACATCCATATAACAAGCCTGACTGAAAGAAATTTATTCTATGGTTTGTAAATTTCTCACGATCTGATTGGCTGTTGGCGCATAATGACCTGTCGTCATTTTCTTGTAATGACCGGTCAAGAATTTCAGTTTACAATTCGTCTAAAATTTATCATAAAACTGAACAATATCTTGAAAAATTGATAAAAAGCTGATAGTTTCGAAAGAAACTGTTTGAGGCTGCGTCGGTGGGAGTAACGAAAAAATTTGGATATATCAACAAAGTTGAAGTGGTAAATTGGCCACCGTAACGATTACAAAAGCCGACGTTTTGAGCGTTAGCCCTTCGTCGGAGCGACACCAAACATCAGGTGACATTCCTGGTCAGCCGACACCAAAGATCACGTGGCGAAAAGCAGTCGGTCGCATGTCAAAGGAAAGATCAAAGGTTCTTACTGGCAGGTTGGAAATAACCAATGTGACCAAAAGCGACAGTGGAGACTACATGTGTTCAGCAAAGAACATTATTAATGAGGACTCTGCCCATACACAAGTCATCGTGTTGGAACAACTCAAGTTTACATTACTCCCTACCCTTAATAAAGGTTCAGCCAAACCCTCAGAAAATGTGTTATTGAGTTGCAAAGCACATGGAGCAAGAGTGGTTGTGTGGCAGCGGACAGGCCAAGGTCTGCCTTCGGGTCACGTAGTTTAATTCAAATGGCTCTCTGCTTCTTAAAAATGTTTCCCTGAACGATGCTGGAACCTACAATTGCATTGCGAAAAGTTTTCATCGCTCCATAACCACTATCACTGTGCTTGAACTTCGAAAGCCAACCTCTTGTAGTGAAACAAAACCACACAATAGAGGAATATCTTCAGGTACTTATACGATTG